GAGAGAGAGAGATTTTTCCAGCCATGCACGCAGAGAGATAGAGAGAGGCTACTTCCATCGATAGGATGAGCAAAATCGAAATGAGTCTTCCACTAGAATATGGAAACATACACTGCTGTCCAACCATGTGCGCAGAGAGATAGAGAGAGGCTACTTCCATCAATAGGATAAGCAAATCGGAATGAATCTTCCACTGAACATGGAAATATACACTGCCACTTTTTTTTTGTGTGTGTGTGAGAGAGAGACACAGAGAGGGAGAGAGAACAGGTAAGTTTCCATCTCTTTTTTGTCTTTTGCGCATTGAATCCGAACACGCTAAAATGCGCAGTGGATAGCCAGCACACCCACAACAGCAGTAACGCACATACGGACTGTGTATCTGCAAATGCACACGCACCAGAAAAGCAAGAAGCGAAAAGCAACACGGCAGAGCGAATGCACCGAATCGAAAGCACGCTAGCAGGATCGAACGGACCTTTCACGAATCCCGGGTATGAACAACTCACATCGGACCAACGGCTGTGTTGGAGGCTGGTAGAAAACTCTCCAAAACCCATTTCACGACAACACACACGGAAAAAAAACGTGTGGCGCATGCAGCAGATTCTGCTGGGCCCGTGCCCCCTGTCCCGAGCCTTTTCCCAAGACTGGAAGCCTGGCCTGGCAGGACCGTTACGCCAGACCCGGCTTCCACTTTAGTAAGAGTATAGATAAGATGTTGGGGGAGATGCTGGAGGAGGGAGTTAAGGCGAAATGAGGGAGAAGTGAGTGGTTCTTGCTTGCGTTCATCAAACCATCTTCTTCTTCTTCTTCCATTCTCATATCTTCTTCCTCCTTTGTCTATATCGCTTTCCATCTCTTTCATTTCAGTTGCAATTCCACGGCATTGTCTTTCTTAGAGTTTTTCTACTGTAAGATACCCAGGATCATAACAAAACGCTCTCTAGATAGAGGGAAGAAAATGCCAGCGGGCTTTTTTTTCCTCCAATGTGCTCCGGTCTATTGGTAGCACTGCAGAAAGAAATGTTTTGTGCTGGTGCACATCGAGGCCATGGTACTAGGTGGCTGCAAGGGGGGTCCGGGTGGGGGTGCAAAATTTGGAGCAGCCTGGCTTTGACAATTCACCTCATTTCACAAAATATTTAATATTGGAAATATTCCGAGTGGGGATCCGGGCCGCCCGGGTGACCGGCAGGGGCCCGGGGGAGGTCCCGGGCCGCCTGGCCGGGCAGGGCACCCGGTTGGGGGCCGGGCCTCCCCAGCGCAGTCACCTGTCGGGAGATTCCGGACCCCCTTTCGGACCCCCTTTGGGTGTGTGTGTGTGTGTGTGTGTGTGTGTGTGAGCGAGAGCGAGAGAGAGAGAGAGAGAGAGAGAGAGAGAGAGAGAGAGAGAGAGAGAGAGATGTTCGAATCATACTTGCAGCGCATCTCATGCGCGGGGTGCTGCATGCACATGCACGCACAACTGATGTGGCGCATTAAAAAAATAGAAAAACGAAAATGTCCTAGTTGTGTCCAGCCTCTTTTCGGAAGGATCCCAATAGCATATTAGCCAGGACCCGACGTCATGCATACATACACTTCAAACTTGTACTCCCTGAGGGTGGGCAGAGAATATATAGTCTGGATTCGAATTCAGGCCTGTGCATGTCGGTTATGGGTCACCATTTCTCTGTTTTCTCGCTTTTCTTTTCTTTTGTCGTTTTTCTTTTCTTAGGAATACATGCAGTGGCCCCAAGGGCCTTTACTCACCAAATGCACAAAAGAGAAAACATATGGTGGCGTATTATTCCACGTTCTGCAGAAGATTCATTCTAATTTTGCACATTTCGTGAGTAGTGCAGCCAAGCCCTAAGAGTCACATGCAGAGACCAACAGG